TCACGCTGTACTTACTGATCTAATTCTGAACTTCCCAGTATCTAGTTGCCAAATGTCTAATGACATCCCTTGCAGGGTTGGAACTTGTTGGCAGAGAACAGGTACTGTTCTTCCCAAACCAGTTGTAAAAGGATTCTCATGAACTTTTAAATTTCATGAAGATAACTCCTGAATCTTGTTTTCTACTTAGTGTTACCTGACAAGATAAAACTTTGCTTTGTTTTGTAACCTTGCAGCTCCCAGGATGTAGGCAGGCAGGCAAAACTTCAAAGTCTTGTTTCTGTCAACCCTTCAACAAAAGTAGACTTTCAAATGCTGCATATGCTTAATCATTCCAACTTCAATGCTGCCTTTTTTTCCTTCTTGCTGCATTGGTGAACCAGTGGGACATGGACTAATTACACTTTTCAGGGACAGTGGACAATGATTATGGATTGTTGGATATGTTCCACTGTTTCTAGGGGCTTCCACATAGCTTGAATATTTACTCTTGGCTCCAGCTTGCCAGGCTCCTCGCCTCTAAGCAGAGCATTTTGTTTAATAAAGCTTCGGTTATCAAAAGCAGGAGTATAGTAAGGCTTTTGGTGAATAAACAGAGCTTTTGAGCAGAGGCTGATTTGTGCTGCTGTTGCAAAAAGAACAATATTAATATTAAATGGCTGAACCAGAATATCGTCAAGAAGATGGTGCAGTGTAGGAGGATTTCAGAAAGCCATAGAATTTTCAAGCCCTGTACCTTAATAATAATGTTGTGGTGAGCTGGGGTGCTTCTTCATGTATTATCTGTAAAAACAAAGGAGTGAGGAATTCTGTTAAGGTGGAGCTTAAGTTGTATCATGAAACTTGGGCAGTCAGCTCTGCAAGTCTGATTTTTGTATGGAGTAGTGCAAGAGGTGTTTCGAAAGACATGCTCTTTGGGATATCAAATTCAAATTTCTCAAAGCATATATTGTTCTGAATTTATGCTTCCTTTGAAAATTACTTCCTTTTTTTTTTCTTCCCCCCTCAAATAGTATGTTTGTGTTAGAAAACTAAGAAGAAAACTTCACGTTTAGTAGACCACCTGGTCACTTAAAGCTTGGTTTTGTGCAAATCTATGTGCCGTTTACTGCCTTTTTGCACTTTTTCCCCCATGTCCTGCACGTAGCGTCTGGGTGAGAGTCAGCACATGCTGTGAATAGCTGTGGTAATTTGTTCAGGTGTCCTGCCTAGGCAGTGCTCAGGCCAGACAGAACTCATGGAGCATGAAGCTCATGCTGAAGTATTAGCAACTCAAGTTGCCAATCGGATTTTTCTACGGTTCCACTAATTATTTTTTTGTTCTCAGGGAATTCACAGGGTACCAAGGGTGTAAATGCTGAGTGATCATTCCCCACCATAACTCAACAGCAAGTTGTGTGGCATAAATTTCCTTGATCTTTATCATAACAGTAACTTTTAAATAGCTTTGAAATAAAAAATGTGATGGCCTGCTCAGTAAAAATACTCACATTTCTCACAGCAAACTCTTCCTTGCACAAGCTTCAATGCTGTTTAGTGCCTTATTTTAAGACTATGGGAAGATAACTATTTCAGAAAACAATTGTATGACGATGCGAGTTCTGTCTCTGACAATAATCCTTTAAAATTTTAACCTGCAGTTTAGATTTCATCCTATGGTATTGCACAGCTCACTGCCATCTTTTTTTGTAGAGAGCTGGAAATCGTGTATTGTGGCTTGCTTGAAGCATAATCAATGCAGTGTTGTGGCTCTCTGTCAAGTCAGATGACAGTAACAAAAGTATAGCTGGAAAGAGCGTCCAGGTCACCCAGCAAAGGAGGAGAGACAAGGGGCCTTTTATTGTGTTCTGAATGCTTGCTTGGAAGGGCTGCTGATGTTCAAAGCATTGTGTAGCACTTCATACAGAAACAGACAAGGCTGCGTCTTTGAACGGTTGCTTGTGTGATAGTAAAGATTTAAAATTTGGCTTTCTAAAGGACTTGTCTCTATTTAAGACCTCTAAATTGTATTTTCTCTGAGAAGTCTCTAGGTAAAGAAACTTCTGTGGAATTTAATTTGCATCTCTGGTATGGTAAAGTAAATATTTTAACCTGTGTTTATAGAGCTGCTGCTGTCAAACTGTTAAAATGAACCTCTTGCTGGAGCAGGAGTGAGTAAGTCTGGGTTTGTTCGCTTGGTGACTGTGTTGCCCAATGAGTAATACTAGTCCCTGCTACCAGTAACAGAACCAATAAGGAGTGCCTGGCAGGTTTACTTAGGTGAGTTGTAATCGTGACTTAGGGCATATTTCAGTTGTTAGTGCTTTTGTGTTAAGTATTTAGAAGAAATTAATTGCTCCAGGAAATGTTTTTGGAAGTCTGCTCTCTGAAGGTTTGCTAGCATTGCAATGCAGTGAGAGAACTGGGGCCTGTGAGAATCTTGCATCGTTTTAAACCAACGTGTGTTTGGGCAGCACAGTGCTCCTTGGTACCTGTCTGCGTGTTCACAGAACTGTTAGCTACTAGCGCTGCATAGCTGCTAAGTGATCAAAAGTCACCTTGTTTTCTGACTTCTAGAAAGCACCTGTAGTGGTCAGGAAGGCTTGAGGCTCTTGGATGTGGAGTTCCTTTTTCTTTTTCCCCTCCCTCCAAATGCTTAGGCACTTCAGGGTGAAGATGAAGCGGAGAACTGTGAGGGGGAGAGGTGCAAAACGAGATTGTGTTGGGTCTGTTGCTGTGAGTTGATGTTGGTACCGGTTTCAGTGGCACTAGTGACATAGTAATTGTGATGAGTTTCTTTAATCTGACTTGTTTTGGGGTGGTAGGAGAAGGGGGAGTAACTTAATGGCCTCACGTGGGTGGGGGAGAGGACCTTCTCTTTCACTGACTAGCGCATCTTAACGCTGGATGCAAACTGCTCAGCGTACTCCAGCCCTGAGTGTTACTCTGCGAGGTGTGGGATCAAGCAGAGCTGGTTCTAATACTTGTCTTTCTGCTTGTCTGAAATCAGGCACAACTTCTTTTCTCTGCTGCTTCCTGACGTTCCTCCCAAAGCTGAAGTTGGGGTGGGGAGGGTGGGGTCCAGTGGGACAGTGTAGATTTGGACACCAACTCCTGTTGTCAGTTATTCTGTAACGCTTCATAAACAGGGCTTCTCTTCATCTTCTCTTTAGCAATCATGTAACTACTTGTTGGTACAGTTACACTCACAAATCTAAGTGTAGAAATACTACTGCTGGCCCCCATCAGACTAAACACTGCAGACTCAAATCTACACCCATAAACATTCTGACTTCCTAAATCTTGTCAGCAAAAAGTAGTGCTTATGTGAAAGATTGCTACTGTTAAAATAGCACTTCATGCTATTGCCTACTACTTTAGAACAGACTTGTGACTTTTTTGGCTGTTTGTCTTTTAATTATGTCTGAAGTACTAAATACCTTCGGTTTAATTTCATCTATTACCATAATGCAAATATTGACTGTTTAAATTTGCGAACTCACATCAGTGCATTGAACTTAACCGTTTTGTGGATCACAGTTGCTGAATGAATGCTGAATAGCTGAGTTTATTTGAAGTGGGAACTACTGATCTTTTTAGATGAGTAATTAAATAACTAATTTAAATAACTCCTTTCATCTTTAGAACTGTTTCCCGTTGTTGTTTGTCTCCATCCAGTAGATGACAAGAGGGACTGCAGAGTGTTGAACATGCAAGCAGGATATATAAAATCGAGACACCAAGAATGAAATACATACTTATGCTGCTTGTCTAGTCCCTCTCATCCTGAGCAGTCTTGGAAAGGACTGATAAGATTCATCACATGTGATAACTAGTGCTCCTGAAGATGCTAGGTTGCTGTGGTGTTGGTGAAGTTAGCTGGCCAGGTAAAGAAGAACCACCACCATCACCATCCCTCCACCCCAACCCCCAAAATCAGTGCCTCTCTGGGGAAGACAGTGGAGTAGAAGTATCACAGCTTCTGCCCTGATTTGCCAGCTTTGAGGGCAGCCCTTGCCTATTAGAGCACATGCTTCCTCCAAAGGTCGTGGGGGACAGTGCTGAAAGCCTGGCACTATTGCAGGGATAGAGGGCAACATTTGTAGGAGGGTTGGTCAGGACTGTTGCAGAAGAAAGGTTATGCATCATAAACCCCAAGTTTTCTGACTCCAGACTCTGCCATTTTAGAACAGGTTTCTTCCAGAGAAGTGTGTTTTGAGGGTAGCTAGCGTTTGGTGTATTGGCTGGGTGCATATTCAGGTTATCTGCAGGGTACTCTTAAAAGGTTTTCTTTAAGCACCTGAGTGTTACAACTCCTGTGTTTTACTCTTGCAAACAGTCACCTTTCCTCTTGTTTTGGTCAGGAATTGAAGCTGAACATACTGAGAATTTTGTAATTGGTTCAACTTTTGCTCACTCACAACTACAATTAGAAAATTAAAGCAGAGCAAGAGTTCTTCCCCCTTTCTCATACCCTCACTAAAATGAAATGTATATGATACCACAGAAGCTGTGTCCTGGTAAGAAGGGCTATTTAGAAAAAGGTTCTATACTCCAGTAGTAACTCTAAATACTAAACCTCAGATCCTTTAAAAGCTGCTGTCTGGTACTTATGGCATCTGGAATCTGTCAAAACGCTTTAAGCCTTGAACTTCAGGTAAGGGAATGTGTAGAATTAGGTGAAGGAAGAGTGTCTTAAAGATGACCAGTAGAAATTGGGTGCTTTGCCCTTCACGAGTACGTGCTACAAATATTTTGTAAAAGCAGTATTTGGTGGTGAAACTGGATGCTAGGATTTGCTTGCCCTGCTGTGACAGATGGTCTTTCAACTTCTAGGTGTTTAGGCCAGCACATGGTGCACCAGTCAGTTATTAAAGCAGCTCAGTCTGGAATAAAAAACGTGCAGCCACATGCTTTTAGTTGATTTGATATGTTAACAATCACAAACTCTAAGTAGTATTTGAATTAACATGTTTTCTGTGATTAATCTGAGGTTGTTTGTTCTTTTTTTTTTTTATAAGGTGTGCAAACAGATTTGGCTAGGCCTATTTGATGATAGATCATCAGCAATTCCAGACTTCAGGGATCCACAGAAAGTAAAGGAATTTCTACAGGAAAAATATGAAAAGAAAAGATGGTAAGATAGTTTTACAATTATAAAGATTGCCTCTGTGATAAGAAGTGAAGATGGACTGTTATCTTTGTGTTTTTGGGTGTGCTTTCCTTCTTGTGCTTTTCCTTCTTTGGACTGGATCGCACAGTTCTAAAGTGAAATGATTTCTGGACTTCATTCAGAGCTCCTACAGGAAGCAGAGAAGACAAAGTATTTTAAAAAGTCTCTGAATGTGTAGTCCGTATTGATGGAACAGAAATGGCTTAAGGGGATGTCAACCACAGTGTAAAGTGAGGGTTTTGCAGGCTTTTATTAAGAGTTGGAAGACACATGTGGCTTGTATTTAAGTTCTATAAAATATTGATGGCTTAAAATTCTAGTTCGTTTTTTAAAACAAATCTGGCATATTTAAATAGTATGTATTTTGTAAACTACTGTTAGAACTTGTTTCAGGGTTGGTGGTTAAAATAGCAAAGCTGAGATCTACCAGTTCTCTCACACTAGTCTTATAAATGTTGAGCAGAATTTTTCACGTTAAACTTGTAAAAACCATTGCTCTTTTTGAATGTAGGTATGTTCCTCCAGAGCAAGCAAAGGTGGTGGCATCAGTCCATGCATCCATATCGGGGTCTTCTGCTAGTAGTACGAGCAGCACACCTGAGGTGAAGCCGCTCAAATCTCTCCTGGGGGAAGCTGCACCCACACTGCACTTAAATAAGGGCACACCTAGCCAAGTGAGTAACGACGAGTTGAACACACAGCTGCTCAGCAGCACTTTCTTAGCGGCGTAGGAACTATTGCAGTAGCAACTGTCACCTAATAGTACAATCACTGGACAACTTTATTTTGTTGAACTATACAGGTGTTTGCAGATCAGGTTCTAAATTAAGCCTCTTTCTATGGACCAAATCGGTTTTTCTTTTAAAGGCTTATTTTCAATAAACAGAATTTACCAGTGTGATTGATAAGTTTGTGATTGTCTTTATTGTAAATATCTGTAAAGTTTGAACCTAATTTTTTTTTTTTAATTTGGAAACAACAAAATGGCCTATACTGTTACGAATGAGATTAAGAGTGAATATGTGGATGAAAAGCATGTATATTTGTTACTTCCTATGGATTCTGTAACTGTTACCTGGTGGCTCTCAGGGAGTGTCTGATGCTCTTATGTAAAGCCCAACAACATTATGTACTTAGAGTTTGGGGGAAATACAAAACTGTTATGCCTTTAGGATACAGGCAAGTCTTGAACTGGACCCCTTAAGTCTCAAACAGCAGAAATTTGCAGCCTTGCTGTGAAATTGTGAATTTTTTCTCTCCTCATACTGAAGTCTAAAGACTTATTCAGAACGTAGGGAATAACTATTTTCCAACTTGTAAAACTACTTCTTACTGCTTGTATTTGTACAGTATTTGCAGTTTTTAATACATAATTTTGAAGTTGCTTATATGTTGATGCTTATTCTTGTAGGCCCTATTAATCCATGGAAGTCTGTTGCTGAGTTCCTTTAAAAGTCACCATAGTAGCGTAAATAGATTGTCTTCCTCATACTGTAGGAGGAGGGTCTGTATACAGCATCTTAAACTTCAGGACTAATTGACTTGTTAAAGAAATACACTTATTTCACAAAATACCAGTATTTTGCAAAAGTCAGTTGGGTAAAATATCAGCTTTTATTAGCTAATTGAAACATTGTTTGTAGTCTCCTGTTGTAGTTCGATCTCAAGGACAGCAGCCACAAGAAAAGAAACAATTTGACCTCCTCAGTGACCTTGGCTCAGATATTTTTGCTGCTGCTCATCCTCAGTCAACTGCTACAGCAAATTTTGCTAACTTTGCACACTTCAATAGTCATACAGGTAAGTATTCTGGGAGTGTATCCTTTTTAAATGTATTGCACGTAGTTTTAATTTTTGACATTAGCCTAAACTTCTTCATGAGGTATACGTAATTTCTGTGCCTTGAACTGTTGTATTGCTCAAGATTTCCTCTAGGTCTTTTAAAAAGAAAGGTTCAAGGTATAGAGGCTAATAATACTGCTTCTTGAAGTGGGCGTTGCTATAGCTATTTTCTGTGAGATGTATTATTAGGCTGTTTCTGCCTACCACTAGAACTTTCAATTCTTCGGGGGAGAGTGTGAGAGGATGAGTAACAGAATGTAGGGAGAAGCTGCTATTAGACCTTCAATTTTCTTTCTGAAGATTATTAGGAAGAGCATTCATGGAAAAAAAGCAGATATAGACACCTCAAGGGAGTACAAATGCATTGACAATAACTGTCAATTTGCTAAGAGGAAAACAAAGGCTTCCTCAGTTTCCAGAATGACCTCCTCTTTTGTGTGTGTCTCTGAAAACTGAATACTATCCGTGTGGGTAGTATTCTGTAGTTTCAGGAAGAATAAACAAGCTTTGGTCATATGTCTTGACTAAGGATGGGGGTAGGCTTGGAATTCTTAAAGAATGACTTCAGTAAAATATATTGAGCCCTCAGGGTTTATTTTCAGCTAAAGATATTGAGCCATAGAAGTCTATGCTAAATTAAAACTTGATTCTGTGGTCACTGAAGTATGTTGTTGCTAACTTGCATTGTAATTGTGGGAAAGTACCTTTGCCTGCCTTGTCTGATTGGGCTTTCATCTAGATTTTCTGAGAGAAACTGTGATGCTGCTAAGCCAACAAGAATGAGAGATTCCTAGCACATCAGTCCTGAAATAGTTAATGTCTGAGAGGAAGTGTGATGAAGGGGACTTAAGGGCACATCTCAGGAACTGAGCAAAGCATTGATACTTTTCTTAAACTTAAAGATATGAAATAGCGTGCTGAATTCAGTCATTCTTACAGAGTAAGAATTTCTGTTGCAGTGTTGTTTTTAAAATCCTTAAGATTTCATGTTACTCATCTTTTTGGAGGTATATTTTAACTGGGAGAACTTATGCTGACTGACCAATGTTGTGCACTGTTACTAAAAAAGGTGCAGATACTTACTACTTTCTAATAACTTAATTCTTCCCAAACCTGTTGCTGAATGATTCTATATTTATATACACTTAATTACTCTGTGGGTTTCAAGGAGATGAAAATGGCATTAAAGCAATATTTCAATACTCTGTTCCAAATCTAGGTAAAATTCCACTGCATCTCTACTGGGTAATTCTGACTCAATGGTATGTTGTAGGGGAAACACGCTGACCTTACATCTACTGCCTGCATTTAGTTTACAGGGTTCTGTATCTTCTGCAGAGACCTCACAGAAGAAACTATGCAAAGATTGTAGGGGCATGGCTGGAGCTGGCAGCTTTTGTACTTCAGCTAGCTTTTGTACTGCCTCATTGATCTGAGTCACAGCAGCAGTTGTAAATCTATTCCGATCTGCAATTCACTGCAGCTCCTGAACTTAGGGTTGTTCTTGGGTTTCTCTGGAGAATTTTGGAATTACAAGTCCATCCTTAAAAACATGATCTACATATTATTCAGGTACAGGAAAGTACAAGTCTTACCTGGTCTTTACCTTTGTGACACTTCTCTATAGGTTTTAACTTTACCACATAAAATGAAGCAAGATTAACATCTGAATACTCTGCAGAAGAGTATTTACAGCTCTACTGTTTCAACACGGGCCTACTTGCAAATCATACCTTGTGTCAGCTGATGCAATAAAAGTCTTAAAGTGGCCTGTAATATTATACATTCCAGTTTTTAATCTAGACCCGAAAGATACTTTAAGATTATTGACATAGTATTCTCTTTGTGTGAGTGGTTAAAATGAAAAACTTCCTCACCATTCTGGGAGTGACATTTGTGTACTTCATCCTATTTGGTCAACTAAACATCAGTCTCTCAGTAGCCCCATCCAATTGATGCATCAGGATGAAAGCATCATTTCCATTTTAAAGCAAGGTGCAATTGAATTCTGAATCTAGTCCCCTTAAAAAGCTACTGGTTTAAAAGCAAAACAACCCAAAAACTCTGGAATTTGGAACTGAAGTGTCTTGAATGCTGTTTGAACCAATACAGATGACATAAGAGAAACTATTTTTCCTCTGTTTCCGTCAACTTTTTCTCCTTGCACTCTTTAAAGGTAAAAATTTTAGGATGGAAATTTCCCAAGGACTTGCTTTCTCACTGATTTTTTTTGTTTTGTTTTGTTTTGGATGGTTTTTGGATGGTGTTTTTCCCTTGTTGACTCTCACACTGTGGTGGGATGAGCTTGGCTGTCTTCCAGCTGCCCACCAAGCTGTGCGCCCCCTCCCCTTCCCCAGCAGGATGGGAGACCACTCGCGCATTACCATCGCAGGGAAAAAACAAGCTTGACTTGGGGAAGATTAACTTCTGTTATTAATTTGCAGTAACTTGAGTAGGATAATGAAAAATGAAAACAAAACTAAAACCGCCCCCACTCCTTTTTTCCAGGCTAAATTTCCCTCATTATTCTTCTACCTCCTCCCCCTGATGGGGGGTGGGAAATAGGGGTTGCAGTCAGGTCATAACACTTGACCTCTGCAATTTCTTCCTTCTTGTGCTCTTCCTCTGTTCCTTTGTGGGATCCCTCCCCCTCAGTGGGCATAGCCCCTCACAAACTTCAATGTGGGCCCTTCCCATGGGCTACAGTTCTTAAAGAACTGCTCCAGCACAGGCCCTTTCCATGGGGTATGGTCCTTTGGGCACGGACTGCTCTAGTGTGGACAGTCCATAGGGTCACAGCTCCTGCCAGAAAACATGCTCCTGTATGGGCTCCTCTGTTAGCCACAGCTCCTGCCAGGATCCTGCTCCACTGTGGGCTTTCCACAGGCTCCAGCTTCCTTCAGTCCATCCCTACCAGCTCTGGTGCGGGGTCTTCTACGGGCTGCAGTGTGGGTTTCTGTTCCACCGTGGCCCTTCATGGGTTGCAGGGGGACAACCTACTTTGCCATGGTCTTCTCCATGGACTGCAAGGCAATCTCTGCTCCAGTGCCTGGAGTGCCTCCTCTCCCTCCTCCTTCACTGACCTGGGTGTCTGCAGAGTTTTCTCTTGTTTTCTGACTCCCCTCTCCTGCAGGTGCTGCACGGTGTTTTTTACCCTTCCCACAGAGGTGCTACTGGCATTGCTGATGGGCTCAGCTTTGGGCAGTGGTAGCTCTGTTTTGGAGCAGACTGAAACTGGCTGTCAGAAATGGGGGCAGCTTCTGATCAGTTCTCATGGGGGCCACCCCTGCAGTCCCCACTTCCAAAGCCATGCCATGTAAACATGGTGTGATACCACAAGAAGTGGTCAAGCAGCCAAACCACCCTCTCTCCCAGTATGCCCTGTGAAGGGAAATGCACTTTTGCTTATATGAGCAGCATTGTGGGATACAGTGGTTTGTACTAAAATGTGCTTTAGTTTATAAATCTGTAGTACAGGTGCTTTTTTAAGTGAAATAATGCAACTTTTTCTTAGCATTTTCTGGCTATTAAGTGTCAATACTTAAACAATCAGCATAGTTTGGTTTTGTATATATTAAGTCTGCAAAATCCTTCCACAATCCTGATCCAAAAAATGTGTTGCAATCTGTTGTTCTGGAAGGCGTTTTGTGAGCTTCCTTTAGGTAGTAACTCAAGTTACCTATATAGGGGTTTGGTTTGCATTTAATTAAAACATTTTTTCCCCTTACTCCTTGTTTGTGACAGTGTTTAAGACTTCCTGTGGAGCTCATCAGTTCGTTAGGCGTGCAGTTCGAGTTCAATCTACAGATGCTTGACTATCCAGCTGTTTGAAATCAGATGGGTGTTAACTTTTACTTTCTTCTGTAGTATGGCACGAAGGGAAGGTGAAAACTGAAATTCTATTTGAAGTTTCCTTGGACTTTATTTTGTGGATGTGTTCTAGGAATGTTATCTTCTTGACACTGGTATTAATTTTCCATGTTTCTATACTCTGGTTTTAGTTTTTAAACTGAATGTTCCAGTGAAATAAACTTATAAACCTAGCCAAAACTATTCAAGTGGTGCCAAACTAAATTCACCCAAGGAAGAAGCACTTTGCATATGAGGAATTCAAGTTGTCAGTATGTTACAAGAATACATTCCAATTTTTATTGCCAAAGAAAAGCTCGCAAATTCTAGTTTTGGAAACTAGCATTTAGAATGATACCTGGTTTGGGTTCTGCAGTATACATCTGATGTTCTGTGCTTCTCGGCTGTTTCTCTCTGACCAGCCACCACTGCAAACAGTCTAGAGTTAAGCTGAACTGGATTTCATCGGGTCGTGCAGTTGTGAGGAGGAGAGAAGTAGCGTTAACTGTACAGTTCTGCAAAGGTGATTTGTGAAAGCTTGTTCAAAGATGACTTTCAGTTGTAGAATATCATGTATTGATTTTTTCATGTCAAAAGAAAGTACAAGGTAGGACATAACCCTTGGAGGCTGTCATGACCATGAATTCATTTAATACATCTGTTTTTCTGTTTATTACCCATATCCATTAACGTGTTTTGTTCCTTTGCAATTTACAGCGCAGAACTCTGCAAATGCAGGTTTTGCAGACTTTGATGCATTTAGACAGTCTAGTGGCTCGAGTAATTTTGGAGGTTTCCCCACAGCAAGTCAGTCTTCTTTTCAGCCCCAAAATACAGGTAGAACTCCTTGTACTTTTGATTAATACTTAATTGAAATAATCTTTACCTTTATGTTGGAAGGTACTTAAGTTGAGTTTGTCTTGCATCTGCCTGCTTTATTGCCATCAAGCCATCCGAAGCTCTGGGGAAACTCAAAATGAATTCCTTCTGTTTGGTGTTGATTTTCTTTATTTTATGTTTTTTCCTAATGCTACTCAGAAGTCTCACTTATGGCACGATGTATGTGTTAGCTCTACACCTGAAAATCTACGGAAAGAGTAAACCATGCTGGTTTTGATAAATGCGAATTGACTCTATCCTGTAAGAGAAGTGTTTTGGTAGACCCAAAAGCACATCGCAGTACCAAAGAAAGCGTGTGTCTGTGCCTACGTATAACATACGCGCACACTTCAGGATGTTTGACTTCATGTGTAGAGCCTATTGCTAAGATTTATTTTGCTTTCCTTTAATTTGACATGCTTTAGAAGTTCTGCTTGAGCTTACACTTGCTGTTTGTCTAGATCTTTGGCTGACTGACTTTCTTTTCCTTTTTTTTGTTTTCTTTTGAGTGTGGTGTCGTTTTAAACTTCTTTTCAAATTTTCTTTCTCCCTTCTTATGTTAACTTTAACCCCCACACAATTTCTGGCTGTCCAGCGTTCAGAACGCTTTCATCTAGCTGCAGTTTTGGTGAATTTACTTCAGCTTTTCCTCTCCAGGCTGTACACAGTAAGTTCCACGCAGTGGAAAACTCGGCTTGCTTCATTTTCTGCCATCGTAGTATAGCATTTTCATTGCTGCTGTTGCATATGTTTTAGCTTACTGGTTGTGCTATTAGAAAGTTGTGTGCTCTGTAGTATGAGGGGAACCCTCAACCAACTGTTATAAAATGTGATGAACTTAATGGGACAACTCATTTAAATTTTAAGTGTGACTTACCTAGATTAAATTGTCTGGATGCTGTAGAGATGGAAGCTCATGGTTTCATATTTGAACAGAAGTTCAGTTGTGTGGACCTAAGTCAGATTTTAAAGATTGATTTATGTACCTCTGATGTCAGTGGAGACTTGGTATGAAAAGAGCTGTGTTGTGTCTTTGCCCTCACCTCTTTCCTGATTGGATGCAGTCTAAAAATCTGAGAAGAGAGAGCTGAACTCTCTCTCTAAACCTTGACATGAAATCATGCTACTCTTGGGCTTCTAGGCACTGCCTTTTTTGCTTAGAATGATGCCTGACATCTGGTTAAATATTGTACCATTAAGTAATTGCAAATGGAGCTATTCATTAGACACGTACAACAGGAGGAATGAAGCTTCTGTATTTTGATTATTGTAGTTAGTTGTCTGAACCTTTTGTCTTAACAAAATATTGTTGTAATTACTTTAACAGCTAATAAATAGTGCATAGTTTTTCAAAGTCAAATTATGACTGTGATTTTAAGCTGTTGAAGTTTGGGATGTTTTTGTCCCTAATCTGCAGACTGAATAGTATTAAAAAACATTTTAAAAGTATTAAAAAGTATTAAAAAATATGACCCAGTGTAACTTTGAAGGGAAGGAGAAAAGGGGTCTTAAATGTGTGGGATGGGGCAGGGGAACATGTTGCCTCACCTAACCACAGAGGTGAGGTTATTGTGCCATCGCTTAGAGTCAGAGAGACTTTCTCTGGCTTTGAGGTGTAATCATGTTTAACTTAATTTGTTACAGGAGGAGGTGCTGGATCGGCGAATGCTAACTTTGCTCACTTTGATAACTTCCCTAAATCCTCCAGTGCTGACTTTGGAGCCTTCAATGCTTCTCAGAGCAACACAACAGCAAATGCAGCCAGCAAAGCTGCAGTGAATAAACCCAATCTCCAGTCAGCTGACAAATACGCAGCTCTTGCTAATTTAGACAATATCTTCAGCGCAGGGCAAGGTATTAAACTTGATTCTTTAACGTACATATTCTACATTTGTATTCTTGCCACAAGGGTGGCTGTGGCTGTCAACAGTAACTGTGTTTCAGAATGTCTTTGTTTAAGCTATCGTTAGAATTTTCATGTCAGCGTACCCCTAATGTGCAAGATCTAAGTTTTAAGACTGACATCACTCCAGAAGGATGTAATCAGAGGACTGCTTTTTGGGAACCTTATTCCTATCAGATTGAATAACTAAGTGAAAATATCTGAATTATTACTGCAGTGATCAAAATATATAAAAACATAAATTTTATATTTGTGCTAAAACCTATAGCGATGGCTCTTGAATGGAGAGCTACAGTTGTTGCAGAGAACTTCCAGAGTAGTTTTCCTACCTCCCTGCCACAAAAATATTTGGCTTTAGCGTTTTATAAACTAGTTGCAGTAATACTTGGTTTTAGTTGATTTTAAGTTAAGAAGAAAAAAACCCAGCTATTCTCTAACTTTTTTCTTCTCAAATGGTGTATAAAGACATGTGTTGGTTTGTAATGCAGAGCTTTATTTTGAAATGGATTATTTGAGGAGATGTGTGTTGTTAATTTTTTTAGTTGAAGATGACTGTAGTATTGAGTCATCATTTTCCAGGGAAAACAGAAGCTTTTTGGAGCTGCAGAATGTCCATGGAAGCATGACACTTTGCTAATAGTTAAGGGCTTGTTAAACACTCTCTTTTTTCCTGTATGCCCTAGTGCATATTTAATTTTTAAGTCTGAAACTTAAACTGTCCACAGATTTGATCTGGTTCTCAGCATTGGCAGGGCAGAAAGTGAAACCATCTGCATCACTTTTAATCTGGTTTCTTTCTTCCTAGGTGGTAGTGAGCAAGGAAGTGGCTTCAGTACAGTAGTATCAGCATCAGCAGGTCCTGTGTTGTCAGCCCCAAATCAGTCAAGTGCAACTTCAGACAAGTACGCGGCTCTAGCAGAATTAGACAGCGTGTTCAGCTCCACAGCAACCTCTAGTAACGCCTATACTTCCACCAGTAACGTTAGCAGGTACTTTGTTAGAAGTAGCTGACTTCCGACATTGACTTCAGCAATATGCAAAGAAGTAGCTCCAAGTTGTTTCTCAAATCTGATTTCATTTCTTATCTAGATGGGAAAGTGTGGAATGAGTTTAGAGATACTACTGAAACTGCATCCTTTGCTTTAAATAATAGCAGTATTGTCCGATAGGATATCCTAAGATAAAATTAAGAATACTTTTCTCAGCAGAATGTTCTCTGCACCTTTCTAGTCAACCCGTGCTAAACCTCTTGGATGGTAACACGCTCCTGTATGGAGTATTTGCACATGTAATCATAGCGTCATCCCTGGCAAAAAAGGGATATTTATAATATAAATGGTGCCAACCACTTCTTTTTTAAATCATTAAAGTCATCTATACCAAACATCTGCTGGGTATTGCAAGTGCCCCTAAAGCTTCTGCTTTGCAACCTCTCTGCTGATGGCCTCTGTTCAGTACTGTTTCTCCTGCTCTTGGTGGAGATGACTTTTCATTGCTCAGCACCAGTTATAATCTCTGACCCTGGCATCAGGGGCTCAGTTCCTGGCATTAGTGACTTGTACTGCAGTTTGCAAACTGAACATAAGCGTTCCTTTTCTATTCTTTTATGTGCCAACGATAATTAAGTTGTATTTAATTGTTAAGCAATTCTGACTTCACTGAATGTATGAATTATTTTCAGCAATGCGTTTGGAACAGTACCTGTGGCTGCTGCTGCACAGACACAGCCTGCATCTTCGAGTGTGCCTGCTCCATTTGGAGGTATATAAGTCTAACAATCTTTTGGGGACCGTAAGCAAACACCTTATGAGCTTTCAGTGGATAATGCTACATTTTGACACTACTGATGTTGAAGTTATTAAAGGATGCCAAAAAAGTACTGTTGTGATGAATTTCAAATGAAACATTTTATTATTAATTCATAATTTCTTAATGTACTTTTGTACCTGTGTGAAAACTGTGTAAATGCAATGAATCAGACTGGGTATTTTTAAAAGACTTTTAAATAAAATGGTTTTTATCTTTCAGCAACACCTTCCACAAATCCATTTGTAGCTGCCCCTGTTGCCCCAGTGGCACCTTCAACAAATCCATTCCAGACCAACAGCCGAGGAGCAACAGGTTAGGAAAAAAACACAGTGTGTTTGAGAAACTCTTGTTCAAGACTTGCATTGTTTTTTTTTTTTTTCCCCCCATAACTATGTAATTTGTTCCTTAAAGATTTTCTGTATTACCTGCCTCTAGTCTATTTGATATATTGTGTGTGTGTTCAATGTGGACTACAATATTTATCAATAGGTTGCAGAAATTTGCTTCAACTTTTTTTTTGAGATAAGTGATGTTTTTTATTCAGTTGAGGACATTATTTTCCTTTTTCTGGCCCAATCCCAGGATTATCACATGGTGGCCATGAAAAATGTCAAAATGATCTGTTTCAGATCTTCTAATACTACCTAAGCCATTTGTAGTCTGCGTGTTACCAGCTGGGTACCTTCCAAGACTGTAACCTTGGCTTTGAAGCATGCTTCCTAGCAGGTTGCCTTGAAATCAGGCATCTCGAAAGCCCTGCAGCTAAGCTGGTACACTTGCTTTTTTAATTTCTTTATTTCCAAGTCCTGAAAGCCCTCAAAACCAGTTGGAGCTAAAACCAGGAAAGACAAGGCTTTTGAGCTGTTACCTCCTCACCAGTCCACTTATTCAGTACGTTGGTGGCATCCTTTATTTTTATTTTGTACCAGTAAAGCACATCTTGAAATAGAATCTTTACACTCATGAATCACATTAATTTTCTAGGGGAGAGTCATTCATCCTTAGATTAAAAACTTAATGACTTTTTAAAAAGCAAATTTGTGCTTTTCTTTAAAAAAATGAACTTGGATTTAGATGACTGCTAGATTATGCTCATTTTCCTCTCTATAGGCACTGCTGAATTTTGGCACTTATCTATTAACTGGACTTCCATAGATTTTAATCTGCTGATCTATGCATTTTAGCCTTGCGTGGTCCTTTGAGCAAAATTTTTTAGGTAATCAGAATTAAACTGATCAGGCTGAGTTAAAATGGAATTGACCAAATTCCTGGCCTCTGCTAAAATAAATCCTGTTTTCAGTCCCGTTCGAGACACTATGCAGCTAAGCTTCTTCAGCTATTTAATGCCCAAAATACCTTTTTCCTTGCTTTAATCTCATTCCTAACTGTGCTATTTTGGATCATCATTAAGAACTTGTGGCCTCTTAGGTAAATTTGTGGGACTACAGCAACTCTGTCCTTCCCCCTTCTAAGCTGCTATCCTTGGCTTGCAGAGGTTCCAGCCCTTTGGCAGCTATACTCACGTTATGTACTAGATGAAGTGATAATGACTACAAATAAAGATAATACTCTATGGTTTTCGGTGTAGGGTGTGAACTTGTAGCTTGCCCTTTTATACTAAGCTTTCTTTCTGCATGAAGTGTGCTGTTTATTACATGGGAGAGCTCTTCTGTAGCGTTTGTGGTTTGCTTAGTTTAAGCTATTGCTGGTCCATGCTGTGGACAAATTGTTTGCCACATATGCCTGTGTATTTATCTATATGTAACTAAGAAATGACTGTTGAAGAGTGTATAAATGACTTGACATTGTCTGGTCTCTTTGTGGCTTCCATAAGGCCTCTCGGGAGCAATGCACTCTCACATATTTCCTCAGGCTCATTTTGGTAGGTGGCCACATTTGGTATCAAGTTTCTTGTGGCTAATTGTTCTTGCTTGTAAAAGCTTATTGGTAGCTATCTGGTTCTCTGCACACAGAATTTGATGAGACTTTCTGCCTTTTAAAAAGGAGGGGGTGGGGGTGTTTGGCAACTGGGCAAAGGGAGAGAAGCACATACATTGACAACCTCTTCAGCAACTAAAACAAAACCATTATTGATACCCTCCACCATCACGATATAAGTCACAAGCTGAGTGACTCCTGAAGTTTGCACCGACAGTAGCTTTGATGCCTTTTGGGATCTCCCAGGTCGCTGCTCATTTTGCTGTGCTGTTTGCTGTTTTAGCAGGTTTTCCTGTTGAATAATTCTCTGCTAACTGTAATGTGAGAACAGTGTTACTACATTAGTTTTGCGTGCCCTTTGTCAACAGTTTGTATGTATAATGTCTTGCCCTTGATTACTTTTGGAGTAAATTTTTCAACTGATACTTAAGCTATATTCATTAAATATATTACTCTTTTCATTAAAACAGCTGAGCTTGCATATAATCTAACTCGTAACATTTCAAAGGAAAAGTCCTGCCCCATATTTAACTGGAGTAAAATGCCTGGTGTCTGTATTTGTACCAAAAAAAATCTGTATGCTTCTCCTTTCAAGAATAACTCCCAAAAGGCTGAATAATGGTTTTGTTACTACATTTTTGCACTTGATGTGCTCCTGTTTATTTGCTGAAGGCATGTGGAATTGCGTATATATGAGCTGTGTGTTCTTTACTTGAAATGTTCAGCAGAGAATCAGATGACAAGTTTTGGGGTGGCTGGTTTTTTTTTTGTTTTAAGTCTTACCTCAACAGTAAGAGCGTTTGCAATAGGAACTCTGTGTGCCAATAATGTGCATGGTGAGAATTTCCTTTAAAATGATGTTAAGGATGGGATGAAGAGAGCAGGGATGCATGTATCCCTTAAGGATTGGGCTTCTTTGATTTGTAACTTCCTGTAATGCAGCTTGAAGCAGGAAGACCCTTTCATGCTTTTCTCAGCAGGAGGAAAACAGAGGGGCTTACGCTGCCTGAAAGTGCTTGCTTCTGATGCGTACAGACTTCTACCAGAAAAACTCTGGAGGAAGTGTATGATGATGTAGAGAATGTAAAAAATAATTTCCTTCTCAGAACGTGTATCTGAATGTGCTGCATCTAGTAAATTTTCAATGATTCCATTCATTTTAAAGTGCAGAAGTAAATTATGCACCTAGTTGGTGGTGACCCAAGCTAACAAACTCAGTTCAGTGGCTGTAGAAGCTGAACCTAACTTTTGTATGGTCACTGAGGCATTAGGAGATTTTTCTTAACATGGAATTTTAGGAATTTGTGTCATGAAATAAAGCGATTTCTTACAAATAATTGAATGTTATTTTTTGCCTACCAGCAGCAACATTTGGTACTGCATCGATGAGCATGCCTGCAGGATTTGGAACTCCTGCCTCCTACAGTCTTCCTACTAGTTTTAGTGGCAACTTCCAGCAGCCCACGTTCCCAGCCCAGGCAGCTTTCCCTCAACAGACTGCTTTTGCTCAGCAGCCAAATGGTAGGTCTATATGTTTTAGATAATCGTGCTTAGATCAGAAACACAGAGAAAACGATCTGGCTGTAAGTCAGCGATAATGGGTACGCATCTATTTCTATATGAACCTGTAATAATACTGATGAGGGGTTCCCACACCGTTTTGGCTCTGTAGTTGAGTTTTCTGACTTGGCTGCGTGCAGGGACGTAACTGAAATTTTACCATAACATGATACTAAAATTGCAAGTATTCCCAGTCTCAAAGGGGTTTTATGCAAGGATTGTTTTGTCTTAATTTTTGAAGTGTCTGCAAACGATTATAGCACTTTCCCTGACTTCATAAAACACAGGCAAGAGAAAATGGGAGCGTACTTTGTCTCAACTTAATGATTAAACTAACACTGAAAAAGCGCGTGTGTAGAAATTGGAAATTTATTTGTTCCAAACAGTTGAAAACAAACAAAAAGCTCAGCTATATTTTTTTTTTTCCCCTTGCATTCCTGATAATGTTTAAGTAGGATCAGTCCTGCTGATTGTGCAGTCTAGGCTTCCACTAATTTTTGTGTGGGAGCTGCAGCAAAGAACTCTCTGAAGCTTGGTTACTGGTATTGATATTTTTCACTTATCTTTCCAAGGAGCAGGTTTTGCTGCATTTGGGCAGGCCAAGCCTGTAGTAACTCCTTTTGGACAAGTTGCAGCTGTTGGAGTATCTAGTAACCCTTTCATGGTGAGTCGTTGCATGTTATTAATAACTTCTGTAATCTGTAACACTTAAAAATATCTTGGTGTGCCTCTGACTTTTTTTTTTTTTTCTTCAAATAAGGGCAGGCAGCAAACGGATCTCCCAAATGTAATTCAGTATTATGATGACCTGGCATTTGTAAGGCTGTTCAATCAGAATAAGTACTTGTATACCATGCTCTTACAGTACTGTAATTTCAGAGAACCACCAAAAAAGACTGCAGCATAAACAGGAAATATTTCCTAATAGGTTGTTTTCTTTTTTTAAATCTCCTGCATTTAATGATTTACAACATGGGGAAAAATTCTTAAATATATTTTATTTCTCTTCTTTCATTTTTCTCCCAGGCTGGTGCACCAACAGGACAATTTCCAACAGGAAGCTCATCAACCAATCCTTTCTTATAGCCTTATAGACACTTTACCCAAAAGAACTCTTATGTGGTCACATAACATCTCTGCGCCTCTTGCACTGTTGTCTTGTTTCACTGATATTAGCTTTAAACACAAATGAAGTCTTTAAGAAGTAAAAATAAAAGCCTGCATTGTGTTACCTTAAAAAAAAAAAAAAACAACAAAAAACCAACACACCCACCCCTAAAACCAAGAAAATCAACTCTCCCCCACCAGGTAATAACGTGCAAAACAGAGGGCTGTGGTAACATCCTTGAACCTGTGAACTGGCAGGTAAAAAGTAGCGGTATCATGTATATTAAAATTGGCTAATAAGTTATTGCAGATACCACATTCATTATGCTGCAGTACTGTACATATTTTTCTTAGAAAATAGCTATTTGTGCATATCAGTATTTGTAACTTTAACACATTGTTATGTGAAAAATGTTACTGGGAAATAGATCAGCCACTTTAAGGTGCTGTTGTATCTCTTGGAATGAATGAGCTACATCATTTTAACCATTGGTATTGGAAGTCATGAAGTTAAATTGAAGGTTTGTTCATTTCTCAAAATGTTTTCCTTTCCTAAGAGCTCTTCTATTTATACATGCCTAAATCTCTAATGTTAGAGGGATACCTGTCTGCATAATAAAGCTGATCATGTTTTGCTACAGTTTGCAGGTGAAAAAAATAAATATTAGAAAAACCAATTGTGTAGCATTATTTCTGTGCGGTAACGCCTTGTTGGGTTAAAGTGAACGTATCGCGAGTCTCGTACGCAGCAGAGTCATCCAAAGCAGTGTGCTTAAAGGTGAGTTAAGCTTAAAATGTTCATGCGCCTCACTTGGATAGGTTTCTTTGTGTCCTTGAGGTTAAGCTTGGTGTTCTAGCTCAAGTGAACTTGGATGCTTTTGAGAGAACGGCTGCGCAGGGAAGGACACTGGAAGCTCTGAGAAGGGTAGTTACTTGAGAGAGGCTTAGCTGCAAAAGACACGTAATTATGGGAGGCTAACGACTGTTTCTGACCAAGGCTTCGTTGAGGTCAGAACAGTACGTGCAATAGCAGGCCATGGTACCACAGATGCAATAGCACCGTGTATTAAAAACTGGTATGTGTTAGTAAGACCTGTGGAATATTGAATTCATTGGTGGGTTTCCTGCCACACCAGAATGAATTTGTACAGGAGGAAAAAAATGTCTGACTTGTCTAGTCTGTATTAGAAGATTCAAGAAACATGTAACTGCATCAGAGTAGTTGGTGACGGTGTTTTAAACACAGAGGTAACTTGGCTTAAGTGTAATCCATTTACATTATTTGCTTAGTTCCAGCATCATGAATACATAAACTGCAAGCTTATAAAGAGGCTTCTGTCCCACTGGAGAATGAAATTCTATCAGCTTTCAAGAATAAATAAGATCAGATTTTTTTTGAGAAAAGGATGTGCAAGCGCCTTGGAGACAAATGTGAAAATTCTGGCAGGTAAGACGGTGAGGTGTGACTGCCTGAACGTTAGCTGTGCCCCTTTCTAGGGCAGCTGAGAGACCTGACCACTGCTTGTAAAGAAACCACTCGTAGGCCGGTGCTTTTGAATTCTGTTGCCTGCCTGCGGCGGGGTAGTGATTTCTGTATCTTACCTTTTTTCAAGCCTTGAGGATCCCAAAGCAGGGAACAGGCAGCTTCTACAACAAGCTGCTTGTATTGGCATTCCTCACTTAAATGGCTGTTTTTGTCCTGTTGGCGCATTTCAAGATAAACCAGACCTAAAGTCTGTCTTTTCCTTCTGATGAGGACCCCTGGATAGGGTATGGTGTATACTTTAATTCCTGAGATTCTCTGGGAAATTCACTGCACAAATCCCCCACAGTTGAGGGGTTTCAGGATATTAGTGATGCCCTTGCATGGTATAAATAGCTGTAGTTCTTCCCCATTCTTGACCTTACCTGTTTTGGGAGAGTAACATGTAAATGCAGTAGAGGATGAGGAACTGCAAGGGTTCAGAAGGATGGGTGGAACACTTAAATATGGATATTGCAGGGAATGGGACCAAATCAACTATGTCTCATCAATGAACAGCCTGGTGGAAGGGAAACACTCCTGTGCTCTCTTTACCTAAATTGATGTAAATTAAGCTTTGGACACAGGCTGATGAGCTCAGCATCTGTTGAAATTGTTGTTCTGATACAAATGAAGCTGTTTTCTGCCAAGAGATGCTGAAACTTAGTTACGTATACAAGGCATGTAACCTCAGCTGGTGCTGTGGAAATAGTGGAATACCTGGTTTTCATCACTAGCTTGAATGCAGAGAAAGGGCTGGCAACTTTTACTGTACACAGCCGCATCAGTTTAGTGTGTGTCACTGATTTTGTGTGTCAAAACGCCGGACAAGCAGCTGAAGGTCTTGCGTTGGTTTATGTGTATATTGAGCAGGAACTGACACTGTAGCTGGTTTGTTGATTGGATTTTTAAAATAGCTGTATTCACAAAATGAATTCTTCAGCCACCATCAGAAATGATTTTGTCTTGGCAGTCTGGGGGGTTGTTCACACAATTGGTCATGCAACTAGCACAGCTGCCGAAAAGCTGTACTGCCGCAAGCTCTCCGGTATCCTCCTCTGCTTGAGCGTGAGAGCGCTTGGTAACTTCAGCCCTCGTACAGAAATGAATTTGGAGACCTTCTGGACCAGTACTTTTAATCCTAAGGTGTCGGTTCTTATGTGTGTGAGATGCTGCAAGAGGTATGTCCCGAGTTGTACAGGGCGGATGTGGTGCCCAGGCACCGCGGTCAGAGTTACTCAGTGGCTGCAAGCTCCCGAGCACCATGTGGAAGCAAACGCGGAGGCAAGAAATTAACTGGAAAATGACCAAGTTTAGTTGGAATTCCTGAAAGACAACTATAAATATGAGCATTTAATTATGTAATTAATTCTATAGTCATTATTTAATACATAATTATTATATTAGATGAATTATATAAGTTACTT